TCACTTCCATTTAGAATGGTCTATCGGTATGATTTTAAAAAAAAAAATTCTCTAAATAATGATATCGCTTATATATATTTTACCGTATTTGTGGGTGAGAGTACAATTGCTACATATTATAGGTTTAAATTGTACGTATAAAAAAAATTTAGCCATATATTTTTTCTGTCGATATATAACAATAAAAGGTCAGAATAACATACTTGCATATAAAGAAAAACAAAATCACATTAAAAAGTGGCACATCTTTAGAGGTTGGAAGTATGGATATAAGGTTTGTGATGAATGCAATCATTATTTACACCTATATTGCAAAACGTAGCAGATGGAATATATAAGCAATGTAAGAATTTTCTAAGAGAAGAAACAAAACTTTTGACTAATCTAACTTTGAATAACTAAAACCTACTTATACTTGTTTACTATAAATTCTACCCCTAAAGCTAACTCTGTATTTTTCAGTGGCTTGTCTATTTTACACTATACTAAATTTCATTTTTAATCTGATTTATTTTAATTCGCCACAATTATTAAATGTGATAAAGTTATACTATAGTGCAGTAGTGATAACAATAATGATAATTTTATTAACCTAATAAAGATATTCATTAGAATAAACTTTGCATGTAAAACCTAACAGAATTATTAGTATAGGTCATGTGCTTGTAGAAATTTATAAAAATAAAGTTGTAATTGTTAAATTTGTAAACACTAGCATTCATTTTATTATTGTGAAGCGATGTGTCAAAAATTCTTTGATTCGCAGAAAAAATAGCATGAAAGCCATGTAAAAATTTTCTCAAAGGGATGCCATCTTTATTAATAATTGTTACAAAAAACTTTAAAATTTGAAAAGAAAGAGTAATATAAATCTATTCCATCATATACTATTTTGCCTGCTTTAGCCTCTACATGCATATTTTAAGTTATTTTTTAATACATAGGGGGCTGCTAGTAAAAACCAAGCAAATCATTTTTAGTAAGTTTTTTTAAAATTTTAAATTAAATATCTCAACAACTATTAAACCAAACTTAATAAATTTTTTTTATTTTAATTCTATAACTATATAAAATTAAAATAAAAAAATTTTTATCAAGTTTGTTTGATGGTTGTTAAGATATTTTATTTTAAGTTTTAAAAAATTTTACTTAGAAACAATTTGCTTGGCACCCTCATATTATCTTGACTTTCTAGTATACGAATAATACAAGAAATTATATTTTTTTCACTCTGCATCTCCTCTTCAAAATTACAATTGTATTGGCGAGAGATTTCAACTTTGGGGTTTTTTGGAGAACCAGTCTAGCGAATGAAATATCAAGAAACCCAGTTGTTACAATTCCAAACAATTGTTGTTGTAACGATTCAAATTCTGTTTATTCTAACTTATACTTGCCTAATAAATTTTAAAAATATACATTGATAGTTAGGTCTACCTTAAGCACAATAAATAAATACAAAAATAGTGAAATTACCTCTAATGCACTATGCAATTGTATAATGTTTTGGGCTATTTCCTTAGTTAAATCTTTCAATTTGACCTCATTGACTAGCACTGCAAAATCTTCATTTTTTTTTAAATAGTCCACAGGACTATACCCTTTAAATCTATAAAGATTAGCTTCTACATATAACTGTACTGAATTGTTTATAAATGCTTGAATGTAATCAACTGCAGTCTTTATGAAAATAGATATATATTCCTGAACAGTTACTTCATTAACATTGATATTATTTTTAAATACTCTCATCATTTTTTTGATCTCTTTATAATCTTAATATAAAACATTTGTAAAAACATCTCTGATATCCCATTTGTTATAAGGGTTTTTATCTATAATTAATTGAGTTTGAATTAGGATATTTACACCATTCTTTATACTGAGTCAAAATATAAAAATATATCTTTAATTTGGACTTTAAAACAAGATCTGCTAGCAACTCATTACCAAAATGGGTTTGTATTTGATCCTTATCAGAAAAAAATTCAATATACTCTGGTTCTATATTCTTAAGAACTTTAAATTTTTGGTTAAGAATTTGCTTAAAGTCATTTAAGTTAGAACATTGTAATATAAAATCGTTTGGCTTAACATTAATTTTGGTGCACTCTTTAGAAGAACTCACATCAATATTAAGAGATTTGTGGATAAGGATGTGTCATTATTAACTTTAGACATACTTATAGATATAATTATTGAACCAATCAATGTGGATTTGGAAAAAAATAGCAATAAATTAAAACATAGTTTGAGTGTGAAAAAAATTTTTTCTGATAAATCGAAATTTTTATAAAATCTACATGTGAGATTTTTATGGAGTGTTGTGCTAATTTTAGATACATAGTATGTAAAAGTTGTGTCATAATCGCATGGTGGGAATATCTATGACTATATATTTTGTAATGATTTATTGTATAATTATTACGTACTTCATTTTTCTAATTAATCTAAATCAGATATAGAGAGGATAATAATCTGATCACCCTACATAAAACATAATGATTATACTTTTCTTAAAGTTTAACTATCATTAAACCATAAAACACCCATCTCACATAACTTATGTAGTGCTCAAAGCTAAACTGCATATACTCACTTATCGTCCTCCTAATTCTGGGCATTACAGGAGCAATACCCAAAATTCCAGATCATAATGCAGACTGGCAAAATTATAAGCTAGAAATTTTTTACTTAATTATATTACTATCACTATAAATTAAAATGATTTTTAACTATATATGCTATATTTTATCATGTATTTTACTATGTATTTTTATTCTGTATTTTATTAATAAAGATTTTGATTAAAGAAACATACAATGTATTATGTGTTATTTTTTTCATATAATGTATATATTATTTTTTTTTCTTGGCAAAATTTTAAAGAACTTGGTTCACCCAAAACCACATGTTTATTTTTTAAACTTTTGAACATATTCGCATCTTGTATAAAATAATAGGAAATCTACAATCCACAATTAAGACATTGAGAGAATTAAATTCTTATCTTGTTTACCAGATTGCTGAACTTAGAAAGAAGTTTGCTGAGATTGAGGCTGAGAATATTGAGATTAAAGCTAAGAATACAAAGGTTAAGGCTAAGAATATTAAAATTAAAGTTGAAAATATAAAGTTAAAACAAATTTTGGAAGAACATAAAACCAGATTTATGAAACTTGAATGTGATATTTTACTAATCAAGGAACAGAACTCACAAGGCATAGACACTATTAATTTACAAAATCTAATAAATTTACAAGTACCCACTCTTTCTAAAATAAATTCTGATAATACTCTTGTAGAGGATATTTCATCATATATTGCTATAAACTGGCTAAAAGCTAAGAGCCAACTTGATAAAGAGAAAATTATTAATTTCAATCCTACACCTGAAATAGAATATAGCTCAACCCAATCCGAATCACAAATAACTTTTCTATCTATCGAATTCTGCTCTAATAAAGAAACTTCAATACACTATAAAACAAATGATTCTATAACTAGCATTACTTCTGAACAGATAGCCCCACAAAGTAAGGATATTCTTGCATCTGTCATACTTGATATAACAAATTCTGATATATTCCAACCTATTTGCATGGAGTCTAAATTATTGGAAGATATAGAGATTGATAAATTCCTAGATTTAAAGAATAAGAAAAGAGTTAGAAATGAGATTAGGCAGAAAAATAGAGAAGAAAAACTTTAGTGTGATTTAGCTAGCCAGAAGGCATACTCGATTTTCTAGAATACTGCATCTACTACTTCCCATGAGCAAAAAAACAAACAGGGCTTGATTCGAGAAATGATTTTATCTAAAGAAGAAAAGCATATAACTAAAATTTCAGTGAACTTGGTTCGTCCAAATAATGAAACTTCAATAACTCCATCTATTCCAGCCATGTCTTAGTTACCACCAGATAATAGAGATATTATTAGTCTATATAAAAACGCATGTGATACAAAAATTGGTGCAATAGAGAAGAAACACTGTATTGGTGTTTCTATGCTAGAGAATTCAAAAGCATGTATAAAGATTTTATGATTAGCAATAAAGTTGGGAAAAAGAAGGCAAAAGGTCAAGTATATGATTTTATTATTAAACAGCTACCTGATACTAAATGCAAAACTTTATATAAGCAGATACAGAAAGCTTTAAGGATTGACAATTTATTCGAAAAAATAGAAATGAATAAGATTCAATATATCAAAACATATAGTGCAAATACTATTTCAAAATTCACTAATTCTCAGATTCAAATGATTATAGATCACTTCACCAAAAAGCCTGATATAGAATATATCAATATTCAGGACAATTTTTCAAATGATTTACCTAAAACTGAGATAAGTGCTACATCTATTCTTTCTACCCTATAGTTCATACCTCTAGCCACTTCGTGACTGCCTTTGGCAATTCGGAAGACATAATAAATAAAAATGTTGAATATTTACCAGAGACAGAGGTAGATATAACTAACAGGAGTGATCGTTTCATCAATTTGAAGATCATTACACAATTGATAAACAAATTTTTTATACATTTTACAATACTATTTTGAGAAACTTGTATAACTTATCTTTGCTATGAAAGATGATAAATCTAGAGTTCTTATCTAGTCAAAAATTTTGTATTCAAATATTCATTTGTTTAATACTTTTAATATTCGAATATTCATTGAAAAATTTTGAATGAATATTCGAATATTCATTGA